AGGTATCCAGACGGTTTTTATTTTCAAATGAAGTAATATTACAGCGGGATCAACAAGTATTGTTTTAGTTGGTATCAATGCATTTTGCTTGAAATTGGTCAGTCCACCTTACTTCCTGTTGTCAAAACTTACATGGTTGACAGTGACATTTATTTCAGATAAAAATTTGTCATTGAATATTATTAGAATGGCATAAGGATGTGTGCTTAAAATGACATCGCGCCAAGCATGTGAATCAAGTTTGGTAATTGTAGCTCAAGAAAATTCGCTCAGAATTGGTTAATTCTATTTCCACCTCAACAGTACTTGTTGATCAAGTTGCACATTTATTTAGACACTTTATTTAACTATTTTAATAACTGACTCCAAAATGTTGTTAACACATCTTTATACAAAATTTTTTAAACAATTAAATTATTAATAAAACATAAACAACATTACATCTTAAGAGAGAAGAAAAAAAATCATATTAGGTGACTAATTAATCAATGTTAGTGTTATATCATAATTTCTAAAAATGTCCTTTGTGTAAATTTTAAAACAAATTCTAAAAATTTCAATAAGCGAGGTAGTGTATGATTACTTATAAACATTACACATGTATAAAAGGCATAAAAAATATGTTTAAGCATTTTTGTTTCATTTAGTGAAAATGAAGTTTCATTAAACCCAGAGTAGTAATTATTATTATTATGCTTGAAGTCTCTATAATTAGTAGTTCATACCTTTTAGCAAACAGGTTCGATTTAATTGCCATGTAATTATCCAAACATGCGTTTAATGTTTGCGGAAGAGAATAAGCAAAAATGTTGTAAAACGACAACTGACTGTATCGTGGCAAAACAACTTACTCTTTTTGAAAACTTCTTAAATGAATTTTAATTTCGCAAATTATATCATACTTTCTTTAACCTTGTAAATTTTGTGATAAGAAAGCAACCCGCTCCCTTCACATATAATAAATAAAAACTATATTTTGATATAGCATTTGCAATATATACAGGGTGAGTCAATAAGCGCGCGATCCTCAATATCTCATTCAGCTACACAGTCCTTTGAGGACTTCTGTTTTTAAAGCGCAACACACAACTTAGTTTTTTTAAATAAAACACCCTATATATTTTTATATATTCTCATAACTTCTTCCTTCTTCATTAACTTACAATTACATTTTATTTTTAAAACTGCGATGGGATGTTGCCACGTTATTCCAATTTTCATGAAATTTTTTAGTAATGGGTGGGTTCACAAAAAAATTGCAATAGGGTAATTTTTAAAATCTGTCTTACAATATTTTGTGGAAGGATAAAAATGGTGCTCCCTTTATTGTGGTGTCTGTTAAATCGGAGTATAATCTATTGAGTGTTTATAAAAAAATTCGAAATCTTACAATTTCCAAATATTGATGTTTTAATTCGCAAAATTTTCTTCAGCAAAATAGGTTCCTAGCAGACGATTGCCTAGTATTCCTGTCCACACATTTATTTTGCTGCGATGCTGAGTATGAGATTCTTGAGTGTTCAATGAGGGTTATTTCGCAATAATTATTATCAAATCTGGCGACCAACTTTTCGAAAAACCATAACTCTTTTTTTTAAGAATTTGTTATAAAATGTGTACTCGGTATTTTAATTTAAAGTAAGTGGTGTGACAGGCATATGCGGATTTTCTACGGAGGAGTGTCGTACAGTAACCATGTTCCAAAAATTTTGCTACTGTTCTGCTTACCGTAGATCTATCATAATTCATGACTATCTATCTATCTCTCATGGCTTCTTATTACTCTGACACAGTACCCAATCCGCATTCATTATCTCGCTTACGATTAAATGCGCCATGATTCTAATTATTGATAAAGGCTCTTTTGGACCTCTTGTCAAATTTAAGATATTTGATAGCAGTTCACAGGATTCTAAGAAACTTCTTTTTATGTTGTTGCAAATAATGTAAATAATCGTTTCGTTTGACAGATAAAAACAATATTTTTGATACCATGACTTCATTTGTTTGGAATCCTCCATATATTTCCAATGTAAATCGAATTTGTTTTTCCAGTCTGTAATGGTTTTTCCAAATTTAATAGACTTTTTCTCCCAAAGAAGTGTTCATGTAATGTACCACTGTTTTTCTATGACCATTTAACTAATAAAAAGATCCATCCAATAGAATAATAAATTAAACACTCGATCATAAACGATCTCTGGGTGTTGCAACGCTCATATCTATAGTCTAATTACATGGTTTCAGTTTCTATTTGAAAAATAACATATGTCTTCCAAAACGTTAGCAAATTAGTATCCAGAAACCTTTTATTTCGTAAAAGCCTAGCACCTGTGACTGATTTTTTTTAAATTTGGTTACATTTTTGATTTATTTCATTAAGATAATCTTTATATTAAAAATATTAATCTCGCTCCGTCTGTACTTCTTGAAATAGTAATTTAGAACCCACCACTGTCCCGGAAATGACCGGCATTCAGGCAAGACTTCTATCATTACGGCTACTAAGACCAAGTAATGATTTGTATTAATTAGATTATTAGAGTGCTATTTTTAATACTTAGTATAGTTATAAAATATGGTTTAATATTGTTATTAAAATTAACAAAAAAGAATAGAAAAAATCTACATGTTACAGCAAATAAAATTAATGTAATATCACAAAGAAACTCTTCCACAGTCATAAACTGGCATGGTTTGACGAATGAATTTTAGCACTACAATCAACGAATAATGTCCAAGTTTCATAGAAAAGTGCGTTTAATGTACTTTTGTAATAAAATATCTATCATCACAATTTTAGAAGAATTCGAAAAAGGAGTAAATATAGACAAATCGAAACAAGATTAAAGTTAAGTGAATTAATGACTGTTACACGGAACTGATATAATTAATTTATTAAACAAGTATCAGCAAGGTTATATTAACATATTCATATTCATTTATTGCATTAATAGCATGCATTGGCCATTTTTTCAAATTTTAAATTATTGCATTTTATGGTCTTTCAGAATATTTAAGAAGTGGTGTCAAGGATAATTTATGGAAGTGTATATTTCTTAATTAAATGAAAATTTATAGTTTTGTTAACATCATGATGGCCATAGCAATTTGGGTAACAAACTATCTACTTTTTTGTTTTTCTAGAATTTAAACAAAATATAGCTTTATAATTGAAAATCAACATGCAGTGACATTTAGATTGGAATATGCTGCTTCAATATATGCAAGTTATTATCGCGTACTAAATTCCATTTATTCATCTGAACCATTGGGTACAATTACAGTTCATTATTGTTTGAGAAGGTGGTAATAAGTTATAAAGTGGAAGTACGTAAAGTTCAAGACTGATTATAGTTTATAAATTGTCATTGATTTAAGAAATAAATTTTAGTACGGTTTTAAAATACACAATTTCGCACGCCTGATTTTTAAACCATTGTTTAGTATTTATTTTTTACATTATTTTTACCATTGTAAGATTTTCGAATTTTTGGTACAAGTTTTTTCCACAAAATTTTAGACTCCAGAAAATATTAGTTATAGTCTTTCATCAAAAAATTATCAATACTAAAGGGTGACCCGTTTAAAAAATTAATCAAAACGTTGTTTTCTTGACAAATTATAAAACATGCATGAATATGTTAATGCTGTTAATACTGAGTGACTATTAATATTTGTGATTTTTTTTGTCTGGTTGGCAACCTATTTAAAATTTTATATTGGCATACCTGATTTATTATTTATTTATGACAACTGTCATTTCAACCCATCAATACGTTTTTGCGGCTGGGTCATGTCAAAATTGACAACTGGGAACTACGTACTAGCATGGATGCCAATAATTCAGAATCGCCAACACAAAAATTTGCTTCAGTCATTAATAGTCACCCGGTATTTTAAGGCCGTTTAAGAATAGCGAAATTGCTTATATCTGTAACGCCGACATAGCATTTACTTTGGTTTCATGGAACTATGTTACACATGTTTTTTTCTTAGGTTGACAGCTTGCAATATAATATTTTTTAGATGACTTATCATTTGACAGTACATACAAAGAAAACTCTTGCTTTGTCGACATATTGGAACTTTCTACGAATACGTTTGACATTTCCTTTAAAATGTTTCAGGTTGCGGTAGGATGTGCTTTTGATTTCCCTACTTTCTTGTTTATATTGCAATAAAACAAACAACTTAGATATTGCTTGAAAAGTAAAAATAATTTTAACTTATTAAATTTTTAATTAATTTTACCTCAAAAATTGCGTAAACTGTTTTATGGCTTACAACTTACAAGTTACAAGAAATTCTTTAATAAAACGTTTTTGTTTACAGAAATGGTTACACAGAATGTATAATTCATGGATAAATTGACTGATTTGCCCACACATTTGTTACAATATGATCTGAACTTGTTTAATGGTATACAGTCTATTTAATTTAGAATTACACATTTGATAGTACAAGGTGATAAAGTTCTCTTCCAAGACATCAGTATCACGTCCAATTTATTATATTTATAACCATGTACTATTAACTTTAGAGAAAATTAACGATCTAGATCTGGTATAACTTTCAGTTCAGGAGTACAGTTTAATGATCATGTTCACACTATGCACAATTTCGTGCATAAGACCAGTAAAATGCTTGGATTTTTGTTATATCAGCTTTTGTTACATTTTATAGTTTACTTGTCAGATCGTTGCTTGGTTTGGCACACTTTCCTGGTACTATCGTCTACTAAACATTAGAAAATTAGTAAATCTTCAGAAATATTTTGTATGGTTTTTCGATTCGGTATAAATGATAAAACTAGTAAATGCAATGATTTAGATGGTATCTGACTTGCATGGTCATCTTTAAAACAAAACTAATGCTGTACTGATTTTGCTTCATAACTGAAATTCATTTCTACTACACAATTTTGCAAAATTCAAGCTAAATTAATTCTATTTGTTAAATTCAAAAACTTGATACTTGATACATTTATTTGCTTTTAGCCTCAAACTTTCGCCCTCACCGATGGCGAAGGCTCGGTCCGCCGTCGCCAAGACCTGGGCACGGCAGGCGTCGAAGACATGATCCAACTCACCGACTTGCACGAAGCAGCCTTATTATGGAACCTCAAGCTGCGGTACGACCGGAACTTGATCTACACGTACGCGGGAAGTATCCTCGTGGCCGTTAACCCCTACAGGATGTTCGACTCCAGCTACGGCATCGAAGCGGCCCAGAGGTACAGAGGCAAGATGATCGGAGCCCTGCCGCCGCACCTCTTCGCGCTGGGAGCGGCGGCGTACTCTGCGCTCCCGGCACCTCAGGTCGTCGTAATCAGCGGCGAGAGCGGCTCAGGAAAGACTGAATCAACCAAATTGGTCATGCAGTATTTGGCGGCGGTAGCTCCTTCCGCCCCACGAGGTCAGGCGTTAGTCACGGAACAAATTCTCGAGGCCGCGCCGTTGCTGGAGGCCTTCGGCAACGCTAGAACTGCTCGCAACGACAACAGTTCCAGGTTCGGGAAGTACCTGGAGGTCTACTTCAAGCATGGAGCTATTATCGGGGCTAAGGTCACGCAGTATCTTTTGGAGAAGTCGAGGATCATCACTCAGGCGCCGGGGGAGAGAAACTATCACGTTTTCTATGAACTGTTGGGGGGGTTGAGCCATGCGGAGAAACAAAAATACGGTCTAGTCGATGCTGATAAGTACTTTTATCTTAATCAAGGCGGGGGAGATTGCGCGCCGGGGCACTCAGGCTCGGGGGCGGATTGGGGGGCCCTCACGAGAGCCATGCAAGTGCTCGGGGTAGGAGAATCCGAACAGGAAGGGATAATTAAAGTTATGGCCTCGGTTCTACACTTAGGTAATGTTTATTTCCATCGAAGGCAACTACGCCACGGTCAGGAAGGTGTAGAGGTTGGATCTGATGTTGAAATCAAGTGGGCTGCTCATCTTTTACAAATTTCTCCCAGTGGATTACAAAGAGCTCTCACGTCACGAATTACCGAGGCGAGAGCGGAAAGAGTATATTCTCCTTTAAGCATCGACCAAGCACTAGATGCAAGAGATGCCTTTGCAAAAGCACTTTACTCTGCTCTTTTCAACTGGTATTATACCTACATTCCTCTTATTCAACTCAATTAAATTTCTACATTACAGGTTGGTAACCCGAATTAACTCCATCGTACAGAAAGGCGGTCTTCACGATGCAGCTAGAATTTCACTTTTAGATATCTTCGGTTTTGAAAACTTAAACGAAAATTCTTTCGAACAACTGTGCATTAACTATGCATCCGAATCGTTACAACTCTACTTTAACAAGCATGTCTTCAAACTGGAACAACAGGAGTATGCCAGAGAACGTCTCGACTGGACTAACATGACATGGATGGACAACACCCCGGTTATACAGTTACTTGGAAAAAAACCCGTTGGAATACTTCATCTTCTAGATGACGAAAGTAACTTCCCTAGAGCTTCAGATTCTTCGTTCTTAGAAAAGTGCCACTACAACCACGCCTTGAACGAAAATTACTGTCGACCTAGAGTAGGCGGACGCGAATTTGGGGTAATTCCGCATCAAATTCCTCTACACAAAACTACACCTACTCTTATTTTTACAGATAAAGCACTTTGCTGGTCAAGTATGGTATTCCGTAGATGGTTTCCTCGATAAAAACCGCGACGTTCTTAGACCCGACGTCGTAGAACTTATATCTTCCAGTAAGGAACCTTTGGTGGCTGCTATTGCTAAACCATTGGTCAACCAAGCGCAAACGCGCACCCTTCCCAAAGGCAACAATGGTCGCTTTGTTACAATGAAACCCAGAACTCCAACTGTTGCTGCACGTTTCAGTGATAGCTTGCAGCAACTTCTGGAGTCTATGTCCCGCTGCAACCCTTGGTTTATCCGTTGCATTAAACCCAACAGCGACAAAAGTCCCATGCGTTTCGACATGCCTGTCGTGCTCGAGCAATTAAGATATGCGGGAATGTTGGACACGATCAAAATACGTCAATCAGGATATCCTGTCAGGATAAAGTTTCAGCAATTTGTTGAAAGATACAGGTATGAAGCAACACGATGACTTAACGTCGTCATTAAATTTTTATTAATTTGTAACGTTTGCACAACTGTGTTAATTCTATTCAAGCAATAGGTGAAATTACCATTTCAAATTTACAGGTATTTACTTTCTGGCGTCTTGCCAAGAGGTGCGCCTTACAGAGACTTATGTCGAGCCATTTTAGAACAAATGCCTGCCACGGGTGCCGGTAAGTACTTTATAGCTGTACCCCACTATTTCGTAACTGTAATTAATTGTAGATGGTCCAGACTACCAACTGGGAGCCACGAGAGTGTTTCTTCGTGAGAAACTCGAACGCCAATTGGAACTTAAGAGATCGGATTGTTTACGAGATTCGGCGGTGCTGATTCAAAAACACATACGAGGTTATTTGGCACGGAAGAATTATCGGAATTTGAGGAGGCATACGGTGACAATACAAAAACATTGGCGTGGCTATAAACAAAGAAATGAATACAAAACCGTACGTGATGGAATCATTAAAACTCAAGCTTTGGTTCGAGGAAGACGGGAAAGAAGACGATTTGCTCAAAGAAAAGCAGATTTTAAACGAAGGGTGGAAGCTGAGAAAATGGCACAAGAGAGGGCTAAACAGAGAGCTGCTAGAGAAGCTCAGTTACAGAAAGCTCAACAAAAGGCAAACGTCCATCACCTAGAAATTCCAGCTGAGTTAGCATTTATATTTACGAAAATTGAAAACTTCAATCCTCCACACTCCGAAAGGAACCTCATAAAAGTTGTGGGTGGTGTTACGGGAAACATTCCTTCATTGAACTTACCTCATGACTTGAATCAGTTTGAATTTTCCCGTTTCTCATCAGTGTATTTCAAAGGTGCCGATCTTGGAATGAAGAAGGAACCAATCACAGCACCCTTTTTGTCCAAAGCTGCCACAAGAGATCAAGACTTCCAAGATGCTGTCGCCTTGTTTAAACTTATTTTGCGTTGGTCTAACGACGCCCAGTTAAACGGAGCTCGTGAAAGAGCACTAGCCGACTACATAGTGCATAAAGCCTTAAGTTCGCGTGGACTTCGAGATGAGTTATTAGTGCAGTTATGTAACCAGGCATGGAGAAATGACAATTCTGAACGGATTTGGCAACTAATGGCTCATTGTTTAAGTTGTTTCCAACCTAGTCCACCATTAAGCAAGTGAGTGACACAATTAAACATTCATTATTTCCTACACAACTATAAATGTTTTAGGTATCTTCTGAAATTTGTAACAGACCACGCGACGGCAAATTATAAAGAATTACTACAGAGAAAACTTACCAGAGGTTTACAAAAGACACCGCATGCACGCTCTCTTCCTCCGACTCTTTTGGAATGGCGCAGTGTCCGTCAAAGGACGAACACTGCCTTACCTTTGACACTTCCAGATAATAACGTGGCGACAGTCAACATTGATTCTTGGACCACTTGTGAAGAGGCAGCTTCTTTGGCCATAAACTCTTTAGGTCTATCTCCAGAAGGATGGAGTGTCGTGATGGACGATGCCGGTATTGTATCCGAAGGGAGTGGTTTGGATTACGTGATGGACTTAATATCAGAACTAGAACTGTGCCCTGCATTCCCTATTTCAAAGTCACCGCTGCTGAAAATTGGTACCCGTAAAGCTTCACCTGTAGAAATTGATCATTCACCGACAACACCCACACGACCTCAAGTACCACCACCAGAACCTCCGACTCATCTCCATCGTAAAGTTTCTAGAGAAGTGACAAGACAGTCACCACCAACTCACAAACCTCCAAGTCAAATGAGCTCCAGAAAACCGTCAAGAGAGAGCCACCGTGAGTATTCACCTCAAAGAGAGTCGCCTGTAACTAGCACCCCTGCTCGAAAATCTTCACATGAAGCACTGTCCCGAAATTCTGCTTTGAATGAAAGGTACTTTGATATAGAAAAAGTGAGATCCAGAAGCTTAGACAATTTGTTAAGCGAACCCGAACCGTCACCATTGTGTGACCTCGGTTTAAGTCAATCAAGATTAAACGACAGATATCATTCCGTAGAACAACTAGCCCCAATAAAGCCAGTAATTGCGAATCAGAATTATATGTCCAAACAAGAAATTGACTTTGAGTACCCAGACGTTTCGAGTGTTAGTACTTCTCATCGTGGGGGACCTAGATACATTAAATCGCAATATACAGGCAAGAAAGCACCTCCAGGATCACACTCGAGCAGAGCTCATATCGAAAAGTCAGAATTCGGTGTCAGAAGTTCGGCAATGTCTGATACTAGTGAAACTCCAAGTTTGGCGAGTCATGTTAGAAGAGTGCGAGTGCCCAGTCAGGCCTCAGATGTGGATCAGTTCCTGGATGAACTCTTTAGCCCTGTGCTTGACGGTAATTTAGACGAACTGAGTGATGCTAGATCTCTAGCTGCTAGTATCAAAGGTGGAAATAAGGATGATTATTACATCGAAGGTTTGGACGATTTTCTTGACGAGGTTTTGGGTGTTGCGGATAATGATTTGGATATGTCGAATGCAGAACATGTAGCGAAACAAATTAAAGGTGGTGGCCATAGACCTCGTAGAGACAGTCAAGGAAGTTCTGTTTTAGACCAGGAAGTGGAAAAACTAACATCCGGTCAGACCCAGGAAAATACGGCCAGGAATGCGGGAGCTAATGGCAACGTTGACGACTATATTAGTGATTTGTTTAGACCCATATTTATCAACGACAGCTTGAAGGCGCTCACCGAAAAACACAATTTAGTTGATAGTATCAAAGGAGGTGGTACTACTCACCAACAGAACGGTGCGGGACCTAGTTACACATTTCCACCTATTCCTGCACCCTTAGTTGGGTCGCCTCCAGTTATCATGCCTTTACTAAGCCCCTCACAGGAAGGTTTCATGCCCGTCTACAACGTACCACCCGTTAATATGCCATCAAACGGTACTGACATGGCTACGTACCAACAAAGTCTTCAACGTGCATTCTTGCAATCCGCAATGGCCCAAAACATACAAATTCAACAACAGCTGCTTGCACAAAACCAGGCGTTGCAGCAATTATTAACGCAGCAGATTCCAGGATCTGATGTTAAAGTCAACGAAGCCATACAGACAACCGTTAAGGCGCAAGTTCATCAATCATCAAGTCCTAATCGTAAATCCAGTTTCAAAACCACTAGTACAACCAGGAAGAGTAGCTCTCCAAGTATTCATTCTTCGGTTGAATACAAATCACGAAAAGCAAGTTCTGAATCTAACATGAGTGTAAACATGATGCGCAACGGAGTACCACCTCCTCCACCAATGCCGCCACCGTTGGACGGTACGGATCCGAGTGAGGCACGTCCTTTTATGGATCCTTACGGAAGAGCTAAAACTGTTAGAATAGGCAAATGGAGATGGCCTCCACCTCAAGACGAGAGAGGTAACGAAAACGGCGAAGATTTTATGCATTTTAAACTGCGCCAGCATCAAAGAAAAGTCACTCCTGTCAAAGAACAGCATCTGATAATTACCAACGGTCATGGTCCCGTCCAAAATAACACAAAATCGGAGCAGTCGTCAGCGGAATGGGAAGAAATTGAATTTGAGCCAATCGTTCGAGAAACGGAACGTACAACCAAGTCGAATTCTAAACGTGCTTTCGATATTGGAGCATCAAGGCCATCTCCAGGAAGTATAGGAAAACTGAAACTCAGTTCGGAAATGCGTCAGAGACTGGAGAAAGTCACTGCAAACCATTCAGTTAGATCGACCAGCAGCAAAGTAGAAAAACCGGCAAGGGCTGTTAATAAATTAGAAGATACAAGAAAAATGATGTTGGAGCAACAGTTAGCTGGTCGATGGGGTGACGATTCTCAAGATCTAACTAGTGGAAAATCTAGTCCTGTTACACCTCCACACGTGAGTTTCTGTTGTGTTGTTTTTCGTATTTCTTAATTCCACACCTGTGTTTACAGATTCCTCACAATGGAAGCAACTCACCGACACAGCAAAGCTGGACTAGTTCTAACTGGAAACCCGGTCCTCCTCCACCTCCCATTGGTCCAAATTCTCTTCCACCTGCACCTCCAGGGCCTGCACCTCCACCTCCAGTGGTTCGTCCGAACCAACCGCCGCCACCAGTCGAACCAATCAGGGAATCTTTTATGGCCCAGCGTCAAGACAGAGACACTTTCGGTGTTCACCAAAACCGAGTCATGCAAAACAGTTCCAAAAGAAATTCCTTCAGTGCCAACTGGGAAGTCCAGAGTGCCATAACACATGAAACTCAAGAAGATAATACGCATTGGGCTAAAGACACTTTAGAAATAGATAAGAACGATGGACGGATGTCGAGAGATAGTTGGGACCAAGCTGATTCAACGACAATTACTTCAATCGATCAACCAAGAAGGATTATAAGTGAACGTTGGGAAACCGAAAGGAAGAGTTACGAAAAAAATAGAAACGTTATGAAAGAGACTGGAGAAAGGCCAACATTCAGAACACACCAGTTTAACAAGAGTGCGCAAGAAAGAGAGAAGAAACATTCTATTGCTTCTACCCAAATGACTGATAAAACAGAAAGAAATGAAGGTAAGTTATTCAGACATAATTGGAACAAAAATAAAAGTTTTTTTTCATAGTACAAGAATGGCCTGAATTTATGAGACCGATACAGACCCCACCTCCGAAATCGCCTGTTGTTCATCGCAAACAAGAACAAGTTCAAAATCAATCTCCAAAAACCACAGCCCGTTTGGTACCTTTGGGATCTTCGGCCTGTGTAACTTACAACAGAGTCTCATGGCTCCTAAGGGTCAGAAAAGAAGTTTTCTCGCCAAACGAACCCCTTGGGCCGCCTTCAATTCTTCATTTAATTTTTTGTCAAATCGTCGGAGATGTCTACGGACTAACACCTTGTTTGCGATTAACCCAAACAGAAAAACGAGCCGGTGTTAACATGTTATCAGGGTACGGGATAACCGCCGACAACTACAACAGCAATCACCGAGCGAACATAAAAAGAAACGTAATAGAATTAGCTAGAACGTGGCCTTTATATTTCGCTCGATTGTTTCCTGTCTCTGGAGCAGCTCAGGTGGGAATTTAAATGCGTCTGAAGTATTTTTTTCAACGATCTTTCATTTCAGTTATCAGAAGTTCAACTCGTTGCCGTCTCTCATTGGGGCATCCACTTGGTCAAAAGAGAACAGAACCACCTTCAAGCAATCAAATCATTTCCTTTGAAAGACATCTCGTCGTGTACAGCCCCCCGCCCCACCACCGTCAGTTTTGATGGTCCTCAAGGTCGTCTAAGTCTTCACACACCTCGAGCTCAACAGCTGTCTGAAATGGTGACCAAATTCTGTGCGGAGAATCGCAAGGTGAGCTAAAGTGATTATGCAATTTCTAAAGACGATGCCTTCAGTCCGTTACTTATGATGGATCTTCTCTGAATTAATTTATTAGTGATGCGTTACTGAAGCTAATTATCATTTAATTAAGTGATTTCGTGGCCTATTTGGGGAAAAAGCGTCTATGTTGTGTATTAATTGTTCTACGAGGAGTTAACTTTAGCGAAATGCGATTACAACTGTTATTAGTGCGTTAAGATATTAGTATTCATACAATTCTTATTATAAATTGCTTGATGCAGGCAAAGGTTAATTTCACGCGAAGTAACTCGGTTGGGAAACTTTGTTATACTCGTAGTGGCATTCAAACGTTGCATTAATTATAACTAATAATAATAACGGCATAGGTGGTGATTTCTCATTAATGCAGCCACTTGTGCAATTAAATAGTTTAAATTATGTTAAGAATTGAAGCTTGCAATAAAACTAGACGTTGAACGTACTTAACGAAATCTACTGGCAATGGCTTAGTTGCAGTGTATATTTAATCGTTACAGTCACTAATCTTTAGAAATAGAAAGAACATGGATGCAACTGTTATGATGCACAAGTTTTTTTCGGATGATAATAACTGTTGTAACAAATTTACCAACTTGTTCAAATGAGTGTTACGAGATTGTCAACATTTTGCCTGAGTTGATTCATGTAAATTATGTCATATTAATTAAATGCACAATACACACTCGACTTAGACGAACATTTCATATACCTGTTTCAGAAGCTGAAATGTATATGTATAACTTAAACGTCCCCCAAAATTAGACATGTAAACAAAATTTTAAAACCCGCGAAAAATTCAAACTTAGCCTTGAATTTTGATTATCAACAAAATGAAACCCTACGTTGTGTCTTTTTTTTTTTTGTTTGGCGGAATGCGCAAATGCAAAGTGGTAAACCTCAAGGTTAGAAAAGTGCTCCTAAATCAAAATACAAAATATGGAGCACAAATTGTATATTCTTCCATTCTGGAGAAGGAAAAACTGGAGACCAGCTGCAAAAACCCTCTCCAGCTTTCAAAAATGAAATAAAATTTTACAAATCCATACAGATATTTGAACATTATAAATTTAATCGCACAAGGAAAAAAGAAAAAGCGTCATTAAAGTACCTAACTCGTTGGTAATCCCCGAGTTATTACGATGGTGTGGCGGGAAATTTAAATTAAGTATGACAGTCGAACAAAAACAAAGTTGAATGGAAACAAACTACGCAGCGTGAGGACGCATAGCGACAGCGGCGCGAAAGGCAACTCCTTGTGAACGTTAATTTGTCTTAATCACAACAACAACACGCACTATGGATTTCAAACACTCATATCCTTGCAAATAAGGCAACCGAGTAGACTTTACATAAAACAAAGCATATATCAAAATAATAATTCGGAATAAATGTTCAAATTCAAGCTCTGAGAAAATAATTCGGATGTAAGAAAATAACACATTGATATAATACAAAATGAACTTAAAATACCACTTACATTTCGAGTCCAAAAGGATATTAATTTAAATGATGACAATTTCCAACGTCTTTTCTTTTAAAATGAATCAACCTTTAAGATTAGTTTAAATACCATAAATGAACCACTTTAAAATCTGGAGTAAGAAGTTATGAAGTGTGGATAATGTAATAACTTGAGTAAAAATATCCACTACTTTAGATACATCGTGTTAAAAAAGAAGTGAAGCCTGACTAAAACTGAATTTCTTGCTACGTGTTTTTATAGGAATATTTACATGATAGTTGTAAAATTGTATTAGAACTGAACAGTTAAAAATCTTAACATGAACTGTGAATTTGCAAACAATAAAATATATAGTAAAATAATAATATTAATAAAATAATAATTACACTTGATGCCATCAACAAGTGTAATTATTATTTTATTAAAACTTTTACACATTTGAGATTAGAAACTCATTAATAAACTGATATTACACTAATAACACTTGTTGAAGAAGGACTTGGCGCCCAATACTATTTATTTTATTTAAACAATTACCCCTTTCGTGAAATTATAACACAAAATTCTCGTAAAAATCGTGAACACGTGTTTCGACTTGCAACACCAGACCTGAAGTGGCACGCCAAAAACGGGAAGTCACTGCTTGCAAAATTCAAATGCGTTTTTTTTTCTCAGCGCGAAATTTAAATTTCAAATTCAAACACCGCAATATATATCACAAAAAAATACTTAAGTTTACATGTAATAACAGTGGTTAAATTTCACTTTAAGCCTTCATTTAGCAAAAAACTTGTTTAAAAAATTTCTGAATCATTAAAATCAAGATTACTATCGACTTGGGTAGAAACGGTATAAATAATCATTAACGTATATTCTAAAATATCCCGACATATGTATTTAAGTGTAGCCAGTTTTACTTTCATTAAAGTAGAATAAATCAGTTAAAATTAAGGTGAGTTAAAGTAGTAGTTAGTTGGACAACTAGTTTTGAAACCGATGTTTACTTTTTTTGATGAATTTAAAGTTTGATTAATGGGGGCGAAACCCAAGTTAATCGAACAAATCAGTGAAAAAAAGAGACTTTCAAAACGAGTTGAACATGTAATTTTTTTGCATGGTTATTCTTGCAAGCCGAAAGTAAAAAGAATCTGTTATTGACATTTTGCGATTTTGCTGTCACTCAAAAATTGTCACACTCAGATATAAAAAAAAACTAGTAAGCAACAATAATACTAAACGCTAACGAGACGTATTTGTATACATCGTTTAGACAATCGTTAAAAAAATAAAAATAGTGAAAAAAGTGATACTTTCCATACGATTTGTTGACAAAAAAGTCCGGTAATTTGATCATTATGCAATAAAGATATATTACAAATATTGATTTATTCCGTGTTTCAAACAAGCAAATTTATTAATAAAAATTATATTTCCTTTGAAACAATTAATCTGAATTTCTTATTAACGTAGAGATGGATATCGCAGTCTTCAATTTATTGGGTCAGTTCCGCTCTACGCGAACGTCATCAATTGTTTTTAATTCTTTGAATATCTTTTACTTTTATTTCTGTGAATTTCGCCATCCTACACACGATTGTTAACGTCTGCTACTGGAACTATCGAAATTTTAAACGACTAATTTTCATTCACAGTAGGGGGAAAAATAAACTGTATTAATATGGTCCAAGGACTTGAGATTCGTGCCCACGCAAGATAGAATTCGATTAACTGTTTTCGGGTCATCTGGGTTAACATCTATTCGTTTCATTTTTCGACCATGTCGTTTCAGATCGACCCCTGTTTATACCTTTCCCCACCTCATTTTTCATTTTGTGCATTTTCTGTTTTCAGTTTAATATTTTTTCACACAAGAAGGAACAAAATGCACTTCAACCTTTTTCATCAACTTTTTGGTCTCTAAATTTTCGCAACTAATAATAGTTGTTCGATAAATAGCCCTTTTTAGTATTTATCTGTGCATCTAAAAGATTTTTTTTTCTAACAACGCAGTGATCAACTACGTAGTCGATCACCAGAGTCACTAAAGTACAAAAAATATATAAAAATGAGACCCGCTTACTAAAAATTTGAAGGAATTAACATAAATCGAAAATTATGTATTGTAACACGATTTAAAATCAAATAATAAATGTTAATTATTATTAAAAGTAACTTTAATTTTATATGGGCTATTTTGTTGTTATTCTAATAATGGACATTTTATTAGTTCTCCAAAGACTGGAAGTTATAGAAAAATCTTCCCAAATGACTGTTTAAGGATCTGTTGGCCAAAAAAAGGAACCTGCTCAACATACTTTCTTAACAGTGTTAGATAGTTACCAACTTAAAAAGCTAAATTAACAATTATCCACATTTAATAAACTAATACACTCTGTGTAAGAAAATTTTATGTTTTGCTCTCACAAAAAAAATCGAACTCCTGAAGTGATACCTGTGTTACGCAAAATTCTTAATTGAGTGAAATTGACAAATTTGTAGCCTCGTAAATCTCATCACTTGATTCACATAACTCTCTTACACAACCAATATTTCACAGGCATAACCTCGAGCAACGCATGTAATAGTTAACTTGAACTCTGAACACTTCACCTGCAAATATTTCGTACTCTCCATTTTCACTTCGTTACGTCAAATTAATCTACGCAAATAATATAGGAAATAGCAACTAAACGTGGTTAAGTGATAACTTTTACAAAATCATCACATTTTATTGATTCTGTAATTATTAAGATGCTTTCGCTAGTTTCCAGTAATTAAATAATAGATTTCTTGTGCTAATATCGAACGCAAGTGATTCAGTAGCTTCTATTGAGTGATGCCTCCTGGATATTTTCTAAAACTTTCACGTCAAGGCCATTTATGAGCTACTACAAGGGTCATTTACATAGAATAGTCGTTCCAATACATTCACCTCGTCGTGGTTTATTTTGAGTTTTCCAAGCTTTCTTTCCAGCTTGCCGCTTTGTTGCCCAAAAATCACAATTTCGTTAACTGTTATCTTATGTGATCATCGACAATCATAAGATCAGATCTCTCCATGCTTCGTGTTGCTTTCATGATAATTCACATTCGCTAATTAGGATTATTATGTGGTATTTACACAGACAGAGTAGACATTTCAAATAGTAAATAAGAGTAGGTATAACTTAAATATCATATTTAAAAAAATATATTTCTGCTGTTTCACTTAGACGTTGTTATTAAATCAAACTTATCAATGTATTATTAAGTTAACAAATGATCTTTTACTAGATAAGTTGTAAAATTTCGTTGACAGATAAAAGAGCATGTCACACTCATACTTAAATATATTACAAATTACTAAATTTGAAACGAAATTTAAAAGTACATTCCAAGAATTTGAGATGGCAGCATCAAATTTGTGTTCTTTTGACCATCTGCATGGTAATCATTTTAACGTTCACAGTTTCTAGTAATCATTGGTTTCTGAGATAATATTCCTAACAATAAATCTGAAATCGCCACA